TACACAAAGGACTGTAAGAAATTACTATGAACAATTATATGCCAAGATATTGGAAAACCTCAATGAAATGGACAAATTTCTAGAAAAATATGACGTCCCAACCTTCATAACCTTGAATGAAGAAGAAGCAGAAAGCCTGAACACACATATAACAGCTGCTGATATTGAAACAGTAATCAAAAAACTCCCAGTACACAAGAGCCCTGGACTAGACGGTTTTACAGGAGAATTTTACAAACACTTAAGGAAGAGATAACCCCTGTCCTTCTCAGACTACTCCAAAAAATACAAGAGGAAAGACTCCCAAACTCATTTTATGAGGCCAGCATCATCCTAATCCCAAAACCAGATAAAGACACAACCAAGAAAGAAAACTACAGGCCAATACTGCTGATGAACATAGAGGTTAAAATCCTCAACAAAACATTGGCAAACCACATCCAGCAACACATTAAAAAGATGACCCACCATGATCAAGTGGAATTCATCCCAAGGATGCAAGGATGGTTCAATATTTGCAAATCAATAAATGTAATACATCCTATAATCAAAAGGAAAGACAAAATTCACATGATCATTTTACACACAGATGTAGAAAAAGCATTTGATAAGGTTCAGCACCCATTTATGGGAAAAACACTTGGCAAAATGGGAATAGTGGGATCATACCACAAGATAATAAAGGCCATACATGAAAACCTTCAGCGAACATCATACTCAACGGACAAACACTAAAGGCTTTCCCACTAAGATCAGGAACAAGACAAGGATGTCCACTTTCACTGCTTCTATTCAATATAGTAGTGGAAGTCCTAGCCACAGCCATCAGACAAGAAAAAGAAATAAAAGGCATCCAAATTGGAAAGGAGGAAGTAAAAATGTTATTGTTTGCAGATGGCATAATAGTGTACATAGAAAACCCTATACACTCCACCAAAAAACTACGCAACATAATAAGTGATTTCGGCAAGCAGCAGGATACAAAGTCATTATTCAAAAATCAAAGGAATTTTTGTACATGAACAATGAAATATCAGAATCAGAAATTGGGAAAGAAATCCCTTTTACTATAGAAAGAAGACAAATAAAGGACCTAGGAATAAACCTAACCAAAGAGGTAAAAGACCAATACTCAGAAAACTACACAAAACTGAAGAAAAAAATTAAGAAGACACAAATAAATGGAAGCACAGACTGTGTTCATGTATTGGAAGAATTGACATCATCAAAATGTCCATACTACCCAAACAATTTATAGATTCAACACAATCCCTATTAAAATACCAATGACATATTTCACAGACACAGAACAAACATTTCAAAAACATATATGTAACCATAAATGACCCAAAATAGCTGCAGCAATTTTGAGAAAGAAGGACAAAGTAGGAGGGATCACAAAACCTGATATCAAACTATATTTCAAGGCCAGAGTAATCAAAACAATCTGGTACTAGCATAAGAACACACATATAGATTAATGGAAGAGAATAGAGCGCTCAGAATTAATCCCAAGTCTATATAGTCAATTACTATTCAACAAAGAGGGTAGTTGTATAAAATGGAGTAAAAACAGTCTGTTCAACAAATGGTGTTGGGAGATCTGGACACCTACATGTAAAAAACTGAAACTGGACCACCAACTTATACCATACACAAAAATAAACTAGAGATGAATTAAATATAAGTCACGACACCATAAAAGTCCAAGAGGAGAATGTAGTCAGGAAACTCTCAGATATACCATGGAGCAGTATTTTCACGGATATGTCCCCTAGAACAGGGGACATAAAGGAGAGAATTAAAAAATTGGATGACATCAAATTAAAAAGATTCTGTACGGCTAAAGAAAATATCAGAAAGACAAAAAGGGCACAAACATATGGGAAAACATATTTGCCAATGATACCTCGGACAAGGGTGTGATCTCCAAAATATATAAAGAACTCACATGACTCCACTCAATGGAAGACAAACAATCCAATTAAAAATGGGCAAAGGACCTGAACAGACACTTTTTCAAGGAGGACATAGACAGGGCCCAGAGACATATGAAAGGATGCTCAGCATCACTAGCCATCAGAGAGATGCAAATTAAAACCACAATAAGATACCACTTCATACCGGTCAGAATGGCCACGGTAAGGAAATCTACAAATGAGTGTTGGTGAGGTTGTGGAGAAATGAGAACCCTATTACACTGTTGGTGGGAATGCAGACTGGTCCAGCCACTGTGGAAAACAGTTTGGAATTTCCTCAGAAAACTAAAAATGGAACTGCCTTTTGGCCTGGCAATTCCATTGCTGGAACTATATCTTAAGAATTCTGAAATACCAATTCAAAAGAACCTATTCACCCCAATGATCATAGCAGCACAACTTACAATAGCCAAGTACTGGATTCAACCTAAGTGCCCATCAGTAAATGAGTGGATCTAAAAACTATGGTACATTTACAAAATGGAATACTACGCAGCAGAAAGAAAGAAAGAGCTACTGCCCTTCGTGACAGCATGGATGGAACTGGAGAGCAATATGCTAAGTGAAATAAGTCAGAAGGTAAAGGACAAATACCATATAATCTCACCTATAAGTGGAACCTAATCAACAAAATAAACAAGCAAAGAAAATATCACCAGAGATAATGAAATAAAGAACAAACTAACAGTAACCAGAGGGGAAAGAGGATGGGAGTAAGAGGGGGAAAATGGGGAAGGGTCATCAGGGAACATGTATAAAGGACCCATAGAGAAAGCCAAACTGGGGTAGGATGGATGGTGAGAAGTCAGAGTGGGTGTTGGGGGAAGTAGTGTCAGGAAAATGGAGACAACTGTACTTGAACAAGTGTTAAAAAAAAAAAGGAAAAATTTTAAAAAAGAAAATGTAATGAATAACTGTGTGCCAACAAATTAGATAATTTTGGTGGATGAATAAATTATTAAGATACAAACAGCTCTGGAAACTGACAAAATAAAACAAAATCTTAATAGACTTATAACTAGAGATTGAATCAATAATTTTTATATTTGCTAGTTAGACAATAAAATTAAATAAAAGGTAGCTGCTTTGGAAAAAAGTAAAATTACCTCTATTGGCATATGACATGATCTTTTATAGCTTGTATATACGAAGAAATATGAAATGTTATTGAAAGAAATTAAAAACCAAATAAATGGAAAGACAGTCCATGTTCATGAATCAGAATACTATATTATTAAGACAGCAAATCTACAAATCTAGGGATCCCTATCAAAATCCCAGCAGTCTTTTCTGCAGATATTAACAAGCTGATGCAAAAATGCAAAGAACCCACAACATCAAAAATGACCTTCAAAAAAAAATTAGAAATTTCACACATACCCATTTCAAAATTCATTACAAAACCCTAAATGATGTGGCTCAGTTGGTTTGGTGTCATCCCAGAAAGCAAAAAAAGATTGTTGGTTTGATTCATTGTAAGGGAGCATGTCTGGATTGCAGGCTTGGTCTCCAATTGTGGAGCATGTATGAGAGGCAATGAATTAATGTTTCTTTTTCACACTGATGTTTCTCTCCCTGTCTTTTTCCCTCCCTTGCCCTCTCTCTAAAAATAAATAAATAAAACTAAAGAAACTCATTAAAAAGCTACAGTAAATAAGAGTATGGTACTGGTTTAATGAAAGACACACAGAACAATGGAACAGAACTGACAGTCCAGAATTAAACCTTCACGCTTAGGAGTAACTGATTGTCAACAAAGGTGCCAAGACCATTTAACGGGGAAAGAGTAGTCTTTTCAACAAACGGTGCTGGGACAACTGGTTATCCACTCAAAGAATAAAACTGACACCCTTACACCAGACACAAAAATTAACTAAAAAATGAAGACCTAGATATAAAAGTTTAAAACTTTGAAAGTCTTAGAAGAAAAGATCAAATCTTTAGGATCAAATCTTTGTGACCTGGGATTAAACAATGATTTCTTAGGTAGAACACCAAAAGCACATGCAACAGAAGAAAAAAAGAAAAGAAAGAGGTAAATTAGACTTCATCAAGTTTGAAACATTTGTGCTTTAAAAGACATTATCCAGAAAGCGAAAAGACAACCAACGAAATGAACAAAACTTATATGCCAATAATATATTTGATAAGGTACTCCTATCCAGACTATAATAAAGAACTCTTACAACAAAGAGACAAGCAAATAGTAAAAAAATTTGAATAGGCATTTCTCCAAAGATGGTACACAGATGGCCAATAAACACATAAAAAAGTCCTTAACATCACTGTCATTGGGTCAGGAATGGAAAACGGTCAGTCACTTTTGAAAACAGCTCAGCAATCCCTCAAGAGGCCAAACATAGAATTATCATGTGATTTAACAATGCCACTCCTAACCCAAGAGAAATAAAAGCATATTTACAAAAACTTGTACATGGATGTTCATTGCAGCATTAATCAGAAAAAAGTAAAAACACCAAAATGTCTATCAATGAATGGATAAATGATGTAGTATATCCATACTATGGAATATTTATCTGCAATAAAAAGGAATTAATTATGAACGCATGCTACAACAAGGCTGAATCTTGAAAATAATTTAAGGGAAAGAAGGCAGTCATAAAAATATATGATATGTAGATGAAATGTCAGAACAGACAAATCCATAGACACAGAAAGTAGATTAGTGGTGGCCTGGAGGAATGGGGAGTGATTGCAAATGGGTGTCGCATTTCTTTACGGGGTGACGGAAACACTCTAAAATTACATAGTGAAGATGGTTGCACAACTTTGTGAATTTATTAAAACTACTGAACTGTACATTTACAAGGGTGATTTTTATGGCACATGAATTATATCTCAATAATGCTATTATTTTTTAAAATAAAATCATGCCTGAATATTGATGTCTCAAAGGTTTGCCTAGACTGTGATCCAGTCTATTTAGTCAGAGACTATGACCACTACATCTAAAGCAAGTTCTACACATGATTAGATACTTGGAAGCAATGATATTCTTACCTCTTCTAAATAAATATTATCCAGATCATATGGTGTTCTGACAGACTCTACCATCCAACTCTCAGGTGTGTTTAAATTCAGGGTGAACAGAGGAGACTGAGGCATATCCAAAAATTTGGCTATTGGACCCTTTGCAAAGCTATTGTCTGAAGTGAAAGAAATCTCTGGTTCTAAAACATAACGGTAAAAGCTGAAATTAAAAAGAAAAAAATGTTAGGTTTTTGGGTTTTTAAAAAAAAAAAAAGAAAGAAACAACACAACCATGGTACTTGAGATTACAGGCCTCCCTACCGGTAATCTACTGGCTTCTAACTAACTAGATTTGGAAGGATTTCCTTCCATACTGGGAAAGGGTTTCTAAAACCATCTCTTGACTTAACTAAACCTCCTGTGGTTGTTGCAAATGCAAGAGAAGAGAGCCAGAGGGATACAACTGAGAGGAAGGTCACCCTTCCAGTATTTTTGTGGGTGGGTGATTGGGTTCTCAGATGAGGCCTGAAAACACGATATGTAAGAGTTTAAACATTTTTCCTGTACAAGGACAATGGTGGAAGCTGGGAATTCTTTTGTCCCTTTCAAACACTGTTTAAATTCACTGAGAATCTAACTCACTGAATATAGCACACTGGTAAATTAGTAACTTCCTATAGCTCCAACATGCACTGTGCTATCACTATTAACTTCTTTTTATATCTTTTTTCATAAATGACCATTTCAAAGCTCCAAGAGTAAGCCTACCTTCCTTTTCAAGATACATGCTAATGGGCCTCAGCAAGTTTCCTCTGACATACATATTCCAACTTGAAATAACTGCTGTTCTTTTGAGATAAAAAAGTACATACAAGTCTTTCCTCATCACAGTACATTTCAACTAATGTGGTAATTTTAATAGTTACATTGATCCACATGTTCTAGAATTAGGGAAATACATAATTCTGACCAAAAATAAAGTACAAGTGCAAGGAGCTTGGGTTAATGCTACCTAAACACTTCCATGCCCACAGTAAGCTCTCAGAAATTAGTGCAGAAATTAGCAAAATTAAACATTCAGTAAATTATCTTTCCAAATATGATGACCCATCTATAAACCCAGGCTTCAGACTGTTTTCCAACTGTTGATTTCTTACACAGCTTATATTACCTTTTCAAAGGCATGTCAGAAAGTTTAGATTGGCAGTTCATAAATACTCTTAAATTCATGTTGATCAGTTGAGTTAATACCTAAAAGAGCAAACCAGATGACAAAACATAAATTTATCACTTGATACTAACTTGAGAGAACATTTCTTAATACATCAAGAAAAGATACACACTCTAGTGCACAATCTAAATCACATACACATCACTTGGCCAAAACATGGCAAGTAGGCCATTGCAGATCACTGCTCCTCACACATGTGGTGAAGCAGCAAATACACAATGGGGAGCTGTCTACACAAGGAAAAGTTTAAAGATTCATTGTGCAGCTTACATACTGTGGTATGAAAACAAACACACATATAAATATCCACAAAAATGGTTAGTTAATATACTTCACTAAAACTTTTCTCTTTAAAAAAAAAATACAATGCAAAACCAAAAGTTGAAGCAACTGTGCTTTAGGCAACTTTGTTTTAGCTCTTTTAAATTTCTCAAAATTATAATATCTTATACATATCTAAAAAGACATGCTATCTATAAGAGGAAAATGATGAAGCAGAATTTTTTTTTACCTTTTTACCTCTTCACCATTATAAATTAAAATATGGCATAAATCAACTTAATTCAAAAGCATTCTGCTCTAAATAAGGATAATTTTTTTTCATTACATGAGCAAACCAAGCAAACCTGCACCAGCTAAGGTTATAAAGCTGTTTTCAGAGTCATTACCAATCTTTATGAAGACATTAGCTCTCCCAAGATGCCTTACAGAGTTTTCCAGTGCCCTCTGAAGATAACTAAGAGAACATTTGCAAATCACAGGGCATGTGATCACTTCAGATAAAGATGATGTATAGTGTCTCTGTGTTGGTCCCTACCAAGAGCAATGGGGCAAGTCTCTGTGATTCTCTGGTGACAGGGTCAATGACAGCCACAACATCAAAGTACGTCTCTCCTTCTTTCGGTCTCAGTTTAATTGCACTACACAGAACAAAAGATAAAATATTAATCTGGAGGAAAACAAGAAACAAAGTTAATTTGTTTTTTGCCACAGTGGCAGAGAGTGCAGTCCAATAAAACCTACCAGCCCACTTAGAATTTCAAAATAAACTTGAGCTCTAGAATGATAAGGCTACATGGTGTTCAACTATGCGATTACGTTTATCTCACAGTTCATAAAACCCTCTGACGACTCAGGTTCACTGAAAATGGACTGAAAGATGTGTTAAGAGAGGAAAACGAGCTTCACACTGTACTTAGCCAAAAACTGCTAAAAGCTTGTGATGTTTGACATTTACAGATGATGCCAATTCTTATTTCTTGGCAAAAAAGGTATGAGGAGAGAAAAAAATAAAATCACGTTTTACATATAAAAGGAATTTGAGAAAACTACAGAATACTTGCAAAAGAGAGAAAAGGAAAATAAATAATCATAAAATCTCACCATCCCAGCACAATTACTTTGTGACATATCCTATGTAGTCCTTCTTACATCCTTGTATAAAGACCAGCTGTACCTACAAAGTATTCAATTTCTTTCCTACCCCTACAAATTTATCATAAATATTTTTCCATGTTGTTACACACTGAATATCCCAAATAAGAAGTAATCATCTATTTACCAAGTAAATTTGCCATAGCTTACTTAAGCTATTCCTTATTGCCGGACATGTGTATGACTTTCAATCTCTAAAATAAGTTGGTACATCAGCTGTTTTCATACTTGGAAGAGTTAATGAAGTCATAGACATGAGATTACTGAGTTATAGAATACAAATATTTTTGTGTCTAATATGTACTGTCAGCCATGTATCCTGAAGAACAAATTTATAAGGTCAAAAAATGAACTTCATATCTTGTCAACATTAAGTTATACATTTTTTTATCTGTTCTTAATATGTGAAGAACAACAGCAGTTAGATGTCTGTATGCACTTGTGGGATTTCTGGGGAGAAATGTATTTTCCCAAGTATAGTAACACACTTTAAAGGATCTAAATACATATCTAATTTTCTAAAAACATTATAGCTTAAATCAATGTTTACCTTTGTTCACTCTGAACAATATTTTAATGCAGTTTCAATGCTAACCCCTACTTTTCTGCAAGAACAAAATAGAACATAACTGATAAAAACTGGGTAACTGTAATTTAAATGATGATGAGGTGCTCTGGGAATAACCAGTAGAGTAGCTTTGTGACAACACTACAGCAGACACTTTCACTCTGATATTTACTGCAATACAACAAAATGATTTTATTCTAACACAGTCATTTTCAAAGTGTGGATCCAAACCAGTGGCATCAGATTCACCTGGGAATTTGTAGAAACAAACTGCTAGGTCCCAACCCAGCTTGGCTGAATCAGAAACTCTGGGGTAGATTCGGCCATCTCCATTTTAAAAAATTCACTATGTAAAAATATGAGAACCAATACCCTCAGATAATTTTGACTTCTTTGTGACTCAGAATTCTAGAAGGAAAAGCACATAGTAGAATAGCATGGTACAAAGTCTCACAAAGGAAACAAGAAGTAGAGTCTCAAGGGGTCCTCTAAGCCAGGCCTGCCCAGGCCAACTCCTGGAACCCTGGAACTTTGGAGCAGAGTTCTGTTGGACATGTTCATGCTCTGAGGCAGTATTCTAGGTGATCCCCAACTGGCATACCCAGAAACTGACCATGGAGGTTTCTGAATCCCCTCCAATCTCTATGGAAAAAAAGAAGACAGGATAAAACCCAAGAATACTGGTGTGGAAATGGAGGATAATATACAGTAACATTATCGTGTTTAAATATACTCACTGTGTTGGTCAGAAAAAAGAACCATAATAAGGCCAAAAGTAACAGGGAATGGAACAATATTTGGGGCTCATACACATTTTTGTGAGGTGAGTAGAGCAAATGTCAAAGAATACAGTGCTTCACCAATTTTAATGTAGAGAGGAATAACCTAGGGGGGACCTCGTTACAATGGAGATGCTAATTCAGGAAGTCTGAGTTGGGGACAGAGACTGCATTTCCACAATTTCCCAAATGATACCCTGCGGCTGTTTCAGAGACAACACTCTTAGGGCAAGGGTATGCATGTCAATAATTCAGACCTGAAAAAGTAGGTAATTTCTGATATAAATCAAGCAAACACTCATTTAACCTAACACAATGCCAATAAAAAGAGTTTCTCTAATTATAATTTGTATCATAATAGATTTTGTAACTAGGACATTTTCCTTATATAAGACTAATGGAGAAAGGGGTGTGCTAGAAAGGGAAGAGTTCTTCTTGCTCAAGATTCACTATCTTGGCCATGAGAGGCAAACAAGATGTCTGGTCAATTAGGAAATATGTTTGCTGTGGCAGTAACTAGATAATCAGTTATTTCCTGAAAGTATACAAAGTGACGAGAAGATGGGTGCTAATGGGGAAAAAAACAGATTATTAACAAGGAGCAATGGAAGTTTTCACTCATTGGTAACATAAGAAATTAGGAGACATGGCCAATGAGAAAGAAGAGGGTGTCCATTCTAGCTTGGAACTGTCAGACAGTCTATTCAAATCTGATCTCCACAAGGACTGGTGTGAGAAAGGACTAAACTGAAGTTCAATCTACCCCAGACTAATGAAATCAGAATCACATAGGGGCAGGATGCAGGCTTCTATATCTAAAGCTTCCCTGGTGATTCTAAGGTGCAATTAAAATGTATACATGCTCAGTAAGACAAGGGCTACATACATTAACCCTGGGGTTCTTCCTGAAGACAAGTTAATTTTAAGTCTAATCATAAGGAAACGACCCAGAAGGTGAAACATTCTACAAGATAATTGGTCTGGACTCTTAAAAAAGACAGACAGACAGAAAGAAAGGAAAGCAAGTAACTGTTCCTGATTAAAGAAGACTGACCAAAATAACAAATCAGCTGTAAAAGGTCATTATTAGGTCAATAGAGAAATCTGAATATTAACCGTGTATTATTTAATATTACTATGTTACAATTAAATTGCTGAAGTATGCTAATAAGTACTGTGGAGAAACTCCTAGTACTTAGGAAATATATGCAGAAGAATTTAGGCATGATGTTTAAATATGTCTGCAATGTAGTTTCAAAAAGTTCTGAAAATATGTGAGTACATGTATGTTTGTAGGCAAACATACATATATACTTTATATGTACTACACATACACACAGATGACAGATAAATGTGACATTTGTTAACAATTGGTGAATCTAGGTTAAACATATTTAGGTGTTCACTGTAACAGTCTTCAAATGTTCTCTAGATTTGAAACTTTTCAAAATAAAAATCAGGAAATAAAAGGCAAGGACTTCTTAGTAATGCTAAATTTTTTATTTTATTGAAAAAAAAAAAGTTTTCAATTAAAGGTGAGTGAGACAAGTGTTCTGACAACCTCTATTTATTCTTGAGTATCAGAAAATTACAGCTGACCCACTTCATTAAATGCTTTCTGTTTTCTAAAAATGTGCATTCAAAACTATTTCAGATATATTCAAAACCATTTCAGATGTATTTAGAAAGTAATGTCAATTTTTACACAACTGAGTTATGAGTTTAAATATATATATATGAAAACCACATGCCAGACAAATTTTCCATTCATATAATAATTTATAAACACATTTCATATGAAAAAAAATGATATGAGGCAAAGGCAGCCTGAAGACTTTACTATTCAGGATGACCTGGAGGCAGCTGCTCCCGGCACACTACCTTGGTGCCACCCAGACACTGTGCACTGACCCCCAGCTGCTATCTGTGCATAAACTCACAGAGAAACACACGTGAGTAACAACAGAAAATGGTACTCTAACAGTGGGAATCAGCAATTTTACACAGGAAACTTTGGGGAGTATTGTTTACTATAGTTTGCCTGCAATTGGAACAAAATTGAACAAACATGATGTTAGATGCTTTGCAAAGTGTGAAAGCTGCTCATGAAACCTATTCTCCTGTCAGGAGAAGTAACTAAAATTAATTTAGTTCTCGCAGAAAAACCCAGGTTCTGTCAAAAAATCTTGTTACGAAGATGATTGGCTGATCAAGATGACACTGAATAACCTGTCAGAACTAGAGGAACTAATGAGTGAAGAAACATGAGAAATACATAAAATCTATTAAGGAGTGAAAAATGGAAGCCCCCTAAATAAGGTAGTATGAAACAACTTAATCTAGCATAAACTGTCAAATCAGTGGTGAATAGAAGTAAAATAGCAACTCTTAGTAATAACAATGGAAAAAGAAACTACTTACATCAGTGTTAGGAATATACCCCTTAACTTTCTAATGATTGTAACTAAACACATGATGCATCTTTTTCTTAACATCCTATGGTTTCTAAGCTAGGCTACGATTATAACATTCAGGACTCTGAAATTATCTGTGGCAAAATCTAGTTATAAATATTATGTAACTCAAGGATAACATTGTTCTCTTAAGCCTTATATAACACTGTAACTTGCTTAGCTCCATCTCTGGATTTGGGTCAAAATATTTAATGATCTTTCCATCGGAAATAACTGGCAGTGGAGAAAAGTTTTTGTTAGTTGTGCAGTGTCAGATGATGAACAAAACTATGCTAATTTTATAATATGCTGAATTTGCTGGTGTTATTTTTATACAGGAAAGCAAGAGCCTTGCAGGAAAATAAGAAACAGTTTAATAATAAAATATTCAATTTCTTCATTAAAAAAAGTTTAATATTCAAGAATACATAAAACTCAACATTATTTCTATACCTGTGTCTATCTTCAAAAAACTGGTACTCAACTCTTGCATCTCCTTTTGGTTGAGCTGACAGAAGAGCATCCACCTTCATTACCAAGTCACTTGCCCTGAAAGACATAGTGAGAATTCAGCATTTCTTCAACCTGACAGTTTTTCCAATTATTGGTAAACATAATATAATCAGCCAAAGTACTAGATGCTAACAAGATGCTTTAAAGAAAGTACGAACTTTGTACCAACAGACATGAGAAAAGTACTGATTTTGAAAATGACTAGTTTTATAAGTTTGGGGAAGGTGCTGATTTTTCCATATGTGAAATGTGGATGATGCCCACTTTGCATAGGTCTTAAAGTGCACTGCCTAAACATAAAGCATCTAGCTCAGGGTCTGCCCCAGAGCAGTCAATCAGTCAGTGTTATTTACTTTTTCTCTCACCTCTTATTAATAACTTTATTGCTTTTTATGATTGTTAGAGTAAAAATTCATTGCAAAACATTCAGAGAAAAAAATATAAGGAGAAATCTGAGACACAAACAATACCATTATCAAGAAATAAGCACTATTTGGTTCATAATTTGTATATTTTTTAAAAAGTATGAGGTCTGTCCAGAAGGTATCCAGCCATGTAATAGAAACAGAGACATTCATTGAAGAAGATACAAGATACAAGAAACAAGGCATCATTACATAGGACAATGATGCCTCAGTCCTCTTCAAAGTAGGCACACTGGGACCTCACACAGTTCTCCCAATTGCCATCAACTGCCCCACCGTATTTTCCTGAATCTCATCGATGCTCTGAAATCTCTTCCCTTTCAAAGGCGATTTAAGTTTTGGGGAAAGCCAGAAGTCACAGGGCACCAAATCTGGGCTGTAGGGTGGCTAAGTCACCTGGGTGATTTGATGTTTTGCCAAAAAACTCTGCACGAGATGTGATACATGAGCGGCTGCATTGTTGTGATGAAGCTGCCAATCACTAGTTGCCCATAGCTATGGTCTTCTGAATCATCTGAATAGTTTTCCTCAGAGGAATGTTTAAGCTCAATGAAAAATCTGATGCAGATTCGTTACTCTACTCGCTCAATCATTAATGTGACGATCACACAGTACACATGCTCACTCAACATCTAATGCCTCCATGAACTAGTACAGAGAAGTCATGATTGTTCATGCATGTGCATTCCAGTCCACTCTCTTGGTTGCTAAGTTACAATGATGTCGTATGAACCATTCTCGTTATATTAAAAATGGCTGGGCATTTTCTGGAAATACCTCTCTCTCTCTCTCACACGTACATGTACACACATATGTGTATTCGCATGTATACACACGTATGTATATGTACACGCATATATATGTATTCATACACACACACAAAAGTGGGATTATATTATCTGGTAACCAGTTTATTCATTTAACAATATATTATAAACATCCTTTTGGTAAACATATGTAGGAGACTGTCAATATTAACAATGACTACATAATATTATATTTAAGGGTACATCATAATCTATTAAACCAATCAGCTATTGAACATCTCAGTTGTTTCAGTTGTTTCCTATTTCACTACTACAATCAACACTTTGGTAAACGACCAAGGAAAGCATTCCTGCTTTCCCCACCCATCCTAAAGTTGATTTCTAACCAAGAAGATCTTGAATTAAATCATGAGAGTTTAAATAATGTTTTAATCTGCTGAGCCAAGGACTAAATTCTAAGAATTCTAAGAGCACTTGAACTAGAATCAAGCCTATACCTTTTCTATTGAACCAAACAACTACAACAAATTATCTCCTCTATTTGGTACTCTCAAGACTAACTATAAATACATATAATACAGGCCACCTATTTCCTGGGATGTGTTAACACAGTCACAAAAATGTCAAGGGACACTTGGTTCTGTGACCTGGGCTAAGCAGACCAACAAGAAATTTCATAAAGGCTCACAGCTTGGCCTCCCTTAGATATCTCCAAGCACAACACAAGTAGCAGCCACCTATAAATCACTTTCTGGTTATGCCAGGCAACCCTGGGCAGGGTACAAGTGACAGCTCATCTCAGTCTGCACCTCCAGGTAGGTCCCAGAGCCAGAGCATTAGGTGGTCAGTTTCAGACAATGCAAGATCACACCCAAATACTACCACAGCAACACACTCAAGGGTTGAACTCATTGGGCATTAGAGGCCCGTGAAGTGAGTACTGCTCTACAGGATCAGCTCCTGCACAACAGCTTCTCCACTGTGACTGGAACCAGTCCTTAAAGCAAATCAACACAGGGATAAATCCCTCCCATTTACAAGTCAACAGCAATCAAGGTTCAATTTTAACAAGAGGGTCTACACAGCTCTGACCTGGGGTACACCTAGAGCACCCAATGCAGGTGACTACAAAGGCTCCACCACTGGGTCCCACAGGGTACCAACTACCTAAGGCCACTCTAGCAAGACCAGGAGATGTAGCTGCTCTACTTAATATATCATAAAACACAGGGAAACATCCAAATGAGGAGACAAAGAAACATGTCCAAATGGACATAACAGAACAATGTTCAAGTAAAAAAGGCTAAAAAAAAAAAAGACATTAAAAAAAAAAGGAGACACGTAATCTACCATATACGGAGTTCAAAACACAGGTTATGAGGATGCTCAGTGATCTCAGTGAGGTCAACAAAAATATAGAAAATGTAAAAATGAAGGTAGAAATCATAAAAAAGATCCAGTCAGAAACGAAGACTACAATAACTGAAATGAAGAACACATTACAGGGAATCAAAAGAAGAACAGATAAAGCAGAGGAGCAAATCAGCAATTTGGAAGATAAGGAAGTAGAAAACACCCAATTAAAACAGGAAAAGAAACCCAAAAGAGTGAGGATAGTTTAAGGAGCTTCTGAGACAACATCAAAGTGTGAAACATCCACATCATGAGGGTAACAGAAGTAAAAGAAAGCAAGCAGGGAAATGAAAACCCGTTTGAAGAAATAATGACTGAAAATGTCTCTAATCTGGTGAAGGAAAAAGACACACACGCCAGGAAACACAGAGTCCTACACAAGATGGACCCAAATAAGGCCATACCAAAACAGATCATAATAAAAATGAAGGTAAAAGACAGAGAATCTTAAAAGCAGCAAGAGAAAAGCAGTTAGTTACATCCAAGGGAACTACCATGAGACTATCAGCTGATTACTTAACAAACTTCGCAGGCCAGAAAGGACTGGCACAAATTAATAAAAGTGATGAAAAGCAGGGACCTAAAACCAACATTACTCTGACCAGAAAGGCTATCATTTAAAACTAAAGGAAAGATCAAGAACTTCCCAGAGAAGAAAAAGATAAAGGAGTTCACAATCACCAAACTACTATTATAAGAAACATTAAAATGACTTAAGAAGGAGGAAAAAAAGATAAATGTAAATACCATAATGCAAAGAACTGCATATCTATCAATAATTGCTTTAATGTAAATGGAATAAATTCTCCAATCAAAAAGATAGAAGGTGGCTGAATGGATTAAAAAACACGACCCATATATATACTGTCCATAAGAGACCCACTTCAGATCAAAAGACACAGAGAGAGTGAAAGTAAAGGAATAATAAAATATATTTCAATTAAATGGGAAAAAAAAGCTGGGCAGCAATGCATATAATCAGATAAAATAGACTTTATCACAATAAGAGACAAGGAAGGACATTACATAATGATAAAGGAACCAATCCAATGAGAGGATGTAATACTTATACACATTTATGCACCCAATACAGGAGCACCTAATATGTGAAGCAAATCTTGATGAATATAAAGAGAGAGATTTACAGTAACATTATCCAAGTAAGGAATTTATACACCAGTGACATCAGTGGACAGATCTTCTAGAAAGGAAATCAAAGAGAAAATAGCAGACTATTTATATGACATATGAGCCTAAATGGACTTAATCAATACTTTTAAAGCATTTCACCCCAGTAGAATACACATTCTTTTCAAGAGCACATTAAAAGGTAGATTTTCTAGGATAGGCAACATATTAGGCCTCCAAAAAGTATCAGGAACTTCAAGAACACTGAAAACGTATCAAACATCTTCTTCAACCACAATGGTATAAAACTAGAAATCAAAAAACAAACAAACCTATTGAGGTTAAGTAGCACGTTACTAAAAAGTAAACGGGTTAACTGTAAGTCAAGGAGAAAAACAAAAACGACACAAGAGAAAAATCAAAATGAAAACACAACAATTCAAAAACTATGGGACACAGCAAAAGCACCCCTAAGAGGGCAGTTCATAGCAATACAGCCCAATTACAAAAACCAACAGACTACAAATAAACAATCTAAACTTGCACCTAAAAGAACTAGAAAAAGAATAAAAAACAAAGCCCAAAGTGAATAAAGGAAGGAACATAATAAAGATCACAGTGGAAATAAAATGAAGTCTGGAGACCCAACAACACAAAAGATAAATGAAACAAAAAGGAGGTTCTTTAAAGAGATAAACAGAGAGGAGAATCAAGATGGTGGAGGAGTGAATGGAAGTCACACTGACCTCCTTCCAGGACCAACCTGAAATTACGACTAAATTGTGGAAAAATCATCTGGAACAAACAACTGAACAATAGCGAGAGAGGAGCCTTATAACCTCGCACAGCAGAAGAATCAGCTTTAGCATAACCTAACTGGGAAGGAGTGTGGTAGAGACTTGAGAAGGCAGGCAGGGTGTGGCCATGGGTGGCAGCACCAGACAGATATTGAAACAGCCCGTTGGTTCCCACTGAGAAGAGTAGGGTAAACCATAAGTGGGGATTTCCAGGCTATAGCACCAGAGCCCAAAAGTACACAGATAACAGCCAGCTGCAAAAACCAGCAGGGTTGATCTGTGTCAGAGACAGGTGGCTGGAGATGCAAAGAGCTGTTTAAAGGGCCAATGCATACATTTTTATTTGCAGCCACATACCCTGGGCTTAGGCAAAGGCAGGGGCAGACTGGGAGTGGGCTAGAGATGCCAGAGAAGAGACTGGGGAAGCAGGCTTTGCAGAGAGAACTGAGAGAGTAGCTGGCAGGATCCCAGTGCTGACTCATACCCCATACAGCAGCAGCCATCTT